GAAAGAGAAAGCGAGAGTGCTGAGCATCCTCCACTGGGGTCAGACACACCATGCCACTCCTCCAGCCCTCAGATCTTGGGCGCTGGAGCACATGTTCAACATGTTTCAGGCTCATCACCGGCGCCATGTGAGATCTGACTTCTGTTGAGTAGAGCATTTTGAATAGTGATTTTGAGTTTTTTCTAACTCATCCTTTCCTCCTCATTCAGCCCCTGTTTTTAGAAACATGTTTGCAAGTTGCTTACCTACGGTTTATGTGGTTAATTATATTAAATCCATTATATCCAACTTTTTTTTTTTTTTTTTTTTTTTACCAGGGGGCAGCGTCGTGTGCCCGCCAGAAAGAGAGAGAGATAGAGAGACAGAAAGCGAGAAATCACCCCCCGGGGGGATGGCCATGCTGCAATCCCTTCTCCTCCATTCTCCTCTTGGGATCTTGGGCACGCATGCACACACGCCCTGAGTGAGTTTAAGCCACCAGATCCAGGACTTGAACCACTGTCGACTACATGGGAGTTCAGCGACATAGCCATTACGCTAACTGCTGGTCCCGATATCCAGCTTTTTTTGACTAAGGTACTAAGATAATCAGCCAAAAGTAAGGAAAAAGATTTAGTCACACAGATATTTGCTTTAAAATGAAAGATTTGTCCTTGTTTTTTCTTTTTAACCTTGTTCAGATTTATGGATTAGCTTTCTGTCTTAATTCTTTCAGCTTAAGAATGCTTTGCTTGCTTTTTTAGAAGATAATTTGGCAAAAACAAAATTATTTTGACATAGTAATCATTGAACATACTCTGGCTCAAAGAAAAATGACACTGTAAACATGATTTCAGAATTCTAATTTAAAAAAATAAAATAAAATTGAAGCCAGCAGGTGGTGTGATGATTAAGGTACTGGATTCCCACGTGGCTGACCATGGTTCGAGTCCCAGACCTGGTGGCTTGAAAATCATACCAGGTGTATGTGCATGCATGCCTAAAATCCTGGCAGGAGAATAGATGAGAAAGGATTGCAGTGTGGGCATACCTGCTGGGGTGTAGTTTCTCACCCTCTCTCTATCTCTCTCTGACATGCTCACACACCCTATGGCAAAAACCTAAAATAAATAAATAAATAAAAAATAAAAACTTTTGGGACCTGCGGGTGGCATAGTGGTTAAGGCACTAGACACTCCCACATGGCTGACCACAGTTCAAGTCCTGGACCTGGTGGCTTGCTTTCTCACCTTCTCTCTGTCTGTGTGTATCTCTCTGGTCAAATTCAAAATGAATGAATGAATAAATAAAGTTAAATAAATAATTAAAAAAAAAAAAACCTTTTAAAATAAGCATTTAACATCCAGGTCCTTTTTGCTCCTCAGGGGTAGAACTGGGAGTCACTGACAGTTTTTCCCAGGTGCTTGTGCTAAGGTTGAGCCATAGTTACTAAGAAATTTTCTCTTGCGCCATAGGCCCCTGCAGCTGCTGTACCTCCTCCGAGTCCAGGAGCAGCACCAGTTCCTACAGGCATCTTCACAGATATCCCAATCAGCAACATTCGTCGAGTAAGAACGTTACCGTGACCTGGAACCAAAGCTGTTGGGGCCATCTTTACTCTGGTTGCTTAAGTGCCTTCATAGTTTAAAACCCTAATAACTTTATCAGTTGGGAATATTAGGTGATTAAGGGAAGTTTGGTTTGGCCAAAGTATTCAGTTGAATGCTTGGGATAGATAAATCACTGCGCTCTGGTTAAATCTTCTTAGAAGGTGATAGCTTATTGTGCAAACCTCCATCTTCCAATTTTAATAATGCTTGAGGACAAGCCTTACTTGGGTGTAAGGAGAAGAAACAGAGCCCTAACTTAGGTACAGTCTTGTCTGAACTCAAGATAACTAATTTTGGAATCTCTTTGGTTGTAGGTTATTGCACAGCGGTTAATGCAATCAAAACAAACCATACCTCATTATTACCTTTCCATTGATGTAAATATGGGAGAAGTTTTATTGGTACGGAAAGAACTTAATAAGGTAAAAGATCTGGAAATTTCAATTCTCTAAATTATAAAAATGTTGTTTTTTTCCCATTAAACATTTGTATTTTGTTATGATATGGTGATAGAAAATGGATATCATCTTAATTTTTTTTTTTTTTTTTTTTTTTTTAGCCAGCTTTGCGCAGTGGCAGTATCGTAGCCAATGAGGTTTATCCGAGGCGCAATTATTGCTAATTTTTTTTTTTTTTTAAGTTTGCTATAGGATGTATGTGCTCACCAGAGACGGAGAGGGAGAGAGAAAGTGAGAAATCACTCCCTTGGGGTTGGGGGGGGTGGCTATGCCACACTTTCTTCTCTTCCAGTCTCTTGGGATTTTGGGCATCCACACATTTGTGTTTGGTATGTTTTTCAAGCCGGGGCCCAGGACCAGAACCATGCAGTCAGCCATGTGGGATCCAGCTGCCTTAGCCACTGCACCACCTAGCTGGCCCCTGTCATCTTCATTTTCCTCAGAGAATATCCTGGAGCAATTTCATTTTCTGACCCTTGATTAAAACTTTGTGTTTAAAATTGACATCGCATCACAATGACTCTGCTAGGCTAAAATCTATGACAAGGCAATTAAAGTAAAACTATTTATTTATAGATCAATCTCTTCTCAGCAGTGCCCCTTAATTGTCTGCTGAATTACCTTGTATAAGTTAAGTGTTAGGGGAGTTCAGAGAAGGGGGAGATCAGTGAAAGTAGTTGGGGAAAACAAAATAGTGTAGGAAAAACTTGGTTGAACCATGGAAATAAGGATTTCAATTGGCAGAGAATTTGAAGAAACTTTATTCTGTTAGAATATCCTAAGAGTAAAGTATGTTAAAAAACAGAAGTAAGTATAGCATATATGGGAAATAAATTATCTTTTCTAGAGTGGATAATACCAAGTCAATATAGGGAAGACCTTGGTTTACAAAGGAAAGAATTTGGACTTGATGAATTAGATACTAAGTAAGAAATGTTCCTTTAAATCTTTTGAGCAGTGAAGTGACATGATAACAGCAGTATTTTAAGAAAGGTTAAACCATAGATGAATGCTGGCCCATATTAACGCAGAGGCTAGTTGATGCAGTCAGCCATGTGGGATCCAGCTGCCTTAGCCACTGCACCACCTAGCTGGCCCCTGTCATCTTCATTTTCCTCAGAGAATATCCTGGAGCAATTTCATTTTCTGACCCTTGATTAAAACTTTGTGTTTAAAATTGACATCGCATCACAATGACTCTGCTAGGCTAAAATCTATGACAAGGCAATTAAAGTAAAACTATTTATTTATAGATCAATCTCTTCTCAGCAGTGCCCCTTAATTGTCTGCTGAATTACCTTGTATAAGTTAAGTGTTAGGGGAGTTCAGAGAAGGGGGAGATCAGTGAAAGTAGTTGGGGAAAACAAAATAGTGTAGGAAAAACTTGGTTGAACCATGGAAATAAGGATTTCAATTGGCAGAGAATTTGAAGAAACTTTATTCTGTTAGAATATCCTAAGAGTAAAGTATGTTAAAAAACAGAAGTAAGTATAGCATATATGGGAAATAAATTATCTTTTCTAGAGTGGATAATACCAAGTCAATATAGGGAAGACCTTGGTTTACAAAGGAAAGAATTTGGACTTGATGAATTAGATACTAAGTAAGAAATGTTCCTTTAAATCTTTTGAGCAGTGAAGTGACATGATAACAGCAGTATTTTAAGAAAGGTTAAACCATAGATGAATGCTGGCCCATATTAACGCAGAGGCTAGTTGTTGTTTTAATCTAGGCACAAAGTGATGATAAATAGGTCTGTACTGGAAGGTTACATTAAGAATGGAGAGAGGGATATGGAAGATATTTTCAAGGAAGTGAAAAGTAAAAGCCAAACTCCTTAAAGTGGTAAACAGGGCCTTTTACAGATTATTCATAACCTCTCTGGCCTCCTGCCTATGTTTCTTGGTAAGAGTTTTAGAGTTTTAAGTTCTTATACTTAGGTCTTTGATTTATTTGGAGTCTTTTTTTTTTTTTAATTTTAGAGAACATGTGCCTGAAAGAATATGAGAAAGAGACTGGAAGGATGGAAGGAAAGAAGGAAAGGAAGGAGGGGTGGGAAAGAGAGAAGGAATCCTAGTGAGATCTGGTCATACTGCAGTCCTTTTCCTTTCATTTCTCCATCCCATCAGGATCCCAGCATGAAAGCTCCTGGGGCAGAGATTCAAACCCTAGTCAGTTGTGTGAGATCTGGCTTCTTCTGCACAGCGCTTAAGCACTCTGCTATGACACTGACCCAATTTCGAGTTCATTTTGTATTTGGTATAAGGTAGAAATCCAATTTTATTCTTTACATATGGGCATTCAGTTGTCCCCGCATCATTAGCTGAAAAAATAATTCTTTCCCTGTTGCCTTGTTTTGGCATGCTTGTTAAAGTCAATTAATTATATACAAAATTGGGGCCAGCAGATGGCATAGCAGTTACATTGCTGGACTCCCACATGGCTGACTGCAGTTCAAGTCCCAGACCTATTTCAGCTTCCCAAATAGCTGGGACTACAAGTGCATGCCAGCTTCACCCATCTTTTAGGATAGACTGAGAACTGAATCTGGGACTGTCAAGTGGCCTCAGCCTGCCAAGTAACACATAAATGTGCACTGTAGCTACTGAGCCAGTGCCTTGTAGATAATTTGGAGAGTGTTGCCATCTAAACAATATTAAGTCTCCCCATCCATGAACATGGGCGGTACTTGCATTTATTTAGTTTTTTTTAAAACATTTAACAATGTTTTGGACCAGCAGATGGCAAAATGGTTACATTGCTGGATTCCCACATAGTCAACCATGGTTCCAGTCCTGGACCTGGTAGCTTAAAACTTATCTGGGTGTGTGTGTGCCCAAAATCTCAAGAGGAGAATGGAGGAAAAGGAACTGTGACATGGCCATCCCCCCTGGGGGTGATTTCTTGCTTTCTGTCTCTGTCTCTGTCTGGTGAGCACGCATGCCCTATAGCAGAAATCTCTCTAAAAAAAATTAACAGTTTTTATAGTTTTTAGAGTATATGTTTTATACTTCTTTTAAAAATTTTATTTATTTATTTATCATTATAATTACTATTTTTTAATTAGATCAGAAAGAGACACACAGAGAGAGGGAGAGTGAAAAAGGAAGCCACCAGGCTCAGGACATGAACTTTGGTCAGCCATGTGGGAGTCCAACACCTTAATAACCATGCCATCTGCTGGCTCCTATACTTTTGTTAACTTTATTTTAGTTTTTTGTTAAATAATTATTAATTTAATTTAATTTATTTATTATTATTATTTTATTTGACCAGAGAGAGAAGGAGTCTGAGAAAGTAAGCCAACAGGTACAGGACTTGAACTGTGGCCAGCCGTGTGGGATTCCAGCGTCTTAACCACCATGCCACTTACCAGCCCCCAGTCTAGATACTTTTTTCTATCTTTCTTTTTTATTTTTTTAATTTTTTTAATTTTTAAAAGAGGTTTTTGCTATAGGGCTCATGCACTTACCAGACAGAGAGACAGAAAGCGAGAAATCACCCCCCAGGGAGGATAGCCACGCCGCAATCCCTTCTCCTCCATTCACTTCTCGGGATCTCAGGCACACACACATGCACCTGGCATGAGTTTAAGCCACCAGGTTTTGGACTTGAACTGTGGTCGACTACATGGGAGTCCAGCAACATAGCCATTACGTGAACTGCTAGTCTCCCTGGTGTATTTTTCAAGCCTGGGGTCCAGGACTCAAGCTGCATAGTCAGTCTTGAGGGATCCAGACACCATGCTACCCAGATGGTCCTATATTTTTAAATTTTTATTTTAATTATATTGTATAAGGACTTTAAATAAAGAAAAAACACATTCTATATGCCTTTCTAATTTTTTTTTCTTTTTGAGAGACAGTTTTGCTATAGGGTACATACATTCACTGGAGAGACAGAGAAAGAGAAAGTGAAAAACTACCCCCAGGACATGCCAAAATTCATCATTCTCTATTTTCCTCTTGGGATTTTGGGCATGCACGCACATGCACCTGGCATGAGTTTCAAGCTACTGGGTCCAGGACTGAAGTTGTGGTTGGCCATGTGGGAGTCCAGCGCCTTGACCTCTACATCACCTGCTGGATCTGCCTTTCTTTCTTCTTCTTCTTTTTTTTTTTTAATTTAATTTTATTCATCATTATCATTTTCCAACTTGACTAGAGAAACACAGGGACATAGAGGTAAAGTGAGAAAGCAAGCCACCAGGTCTGGAACTTGAATCATAGTCCGCCATGTGGGAGTCTAGCACCTTAACCAACATGCCACCTGGCAGTCCCTGGACTTGCCTAATTTTCATCAAGTGTCATAATGTGAAAAGGGCTGGAGAACCAAAACTAACCCAGCCCCTGTAACTGATTTGTGAGTGAACTGGATTCAGTCAGGATTAATGACAATGTTCTATGAAAATTGGGTCGTGGTCTACTACATGGGAGTCCAGCAACATAGCCATTACCCCAACTGCTGGTCCCGATATTTTATTCTTTCTATTGATACTATTGTAAATGGAATTTTTTCTAAATGTCATTTTCAAATTGTTCATTGCTACTGTGTAGAAATGTTGATCTTTTTGTATCTTGTATCCTGAAACCTACTGGACACATTTACTAGATCTAGTTGTTTTAGATCTAGAGGATTCCTGTGGATTTTCTGTACAGACAATGGTGTTTTCTACAAATACAGGAGGACTTAAAAATTTCATAGAAGTTAGAATGTAAGTAGGAGTTTATTTTGTTGCCAAAAATGGAAATTAATTCACAGTATTGTCATAATATGCATTTTTCATGATTTTTTGGGGGGGAGATTCCCCTCATAGAGACAGTTTTACTTTTTCTTTCTGATCTCAGTACCTTTTATTTCCTTTTCTTGCCTAACTACTCTGGCTAGCACCTCTAGTACAGTATTGTATAGAAGTGGCAAGAGTGGTCATTCCCCTCATTCTTGATCTTAAGGAGAATATGTCTTGATGATAGGGGTTACCTTAGATCTATTTTATCATCAGACTTAGGAAATTCCCTATTTCTAATTTGTTGAATGTTTTTATTGCGAAAGTGAAGGGATACTGAATTTTGTCTCAATTTTTGGTGTGCCTGCTGAGATCACGTAGTTTTTGTCCTATATTCTATTAGGACATTAGTGTCCTAATTTTATTTTTTTAATTTGCTTATTCTTTTTTTTTTTTAAAGAATTATTTATTTGAATTGTTAATTCACTTATTTTTTAATTTGACCAGATAGAAACACAGAGAGAGAGAGAAAGAGAAAGCAAATCACCAGGTCCTGGACTTGAACCGTGGTCAGCCATGTGAGAGTGTCTAGCGCCTTAACCACCATGCTACCTGCTGGTTCCTTGTTTATTCTGAGAGAGAGAAAAATAAGGATACAGAACCCCAGAAGCGTCTTGATGCCATGACCCACCCCTAAGCCTGATCCAGCTTGGGAGCGCATGTGTGTCTGGCATACAGGGAGGTCTCTGACTCCAAATTAGCTACTTTTATAGGTGGGGTCTACATTGTGGAGTGTTGTGTTTTACTGCTGTGCCACCTGTTCAGCCCTCCCCCCCTTTTTTTTAATATATATTGCTGGATTTTGTTTGCTAGTATTTTGTTGAGGATTTATACATCTATATTCATAGGAGATATTAGTGTAGTTTTGTTTTTTTTAAGAGGTTTTTGCCTTAGGGTACATTCACTCACCATAGAGACAGACAGAGAAAGTGAGAGGGAAAGTGAGAAATCACCCTTAGGAAGGATGGCCATGTTGCAGTCTCTTCTGTGTTCTCCCAGGACTTTGGGCACACATCCACATTTGCCCAACATGATTTTCAAGCCACCAGGTCCAGGTCTTGAACTGTGGTCAGCTGGTCCTGTACTTTATTATTATTTTTTTTTTTGTAATGTTTTTGTCTGGTTTTAGTATGAGGCTAATATTGGCTTCCTAGAATGACTAGAACTATTCTTGACTTTATTTTTTTAAGAAGGTTTACAAAGAATTGATACTACTTCTTAAATTGTCTGTTAGAATTCACCAGTGAAGCCCTTTAGGTCTAAACATTTCTTTCTTTTTTTTTTTTTTTTTTTTTTTGAGAGGTTTTTGCTATAGGGCGCGTGCGCTTGCCAGACAGAGAGAGACATAGTGACAGAAAGCGAGAAATCACCCCCCAGGGGGGATGGTCACGCCGCAATCCCTTCTCCTCCATTCTCCTCTCAGGATCTTGGGCACACACGCACATGCGCCCGGTGTGAGTTTTAAGCCACCAGGTCCGGGATGCGAACCATGGTCGACTACGTGGGAGTCCAGCAACATAGCCATTATGCTAACTGCTGGTTCCCAGGTCTAAACATTTCTATGTCGGTAGCCTTTCAGTTACCAGTTCAATCTCTTATCATTAGTTACAAATTTTATGTTCAGTTTGTTTCTTCTTGGTTTAGTTTTGGTAGTTTGTATCTTACTGGGCATTTGTCAGTTTCATCTGAGTTATCTAATTTATTTTTTGCATGTGGGTGTTCTTAGTATTAGGTATATAATCTTTTTTACTTTAGTAAGGAAAATACTTTGTAATTGTATTTTATAATGTTTTCTGTTTCATTCCTGGTTTTAGGAAATTGAGTTTTCTCTCTTCTTCTTGATTATTCTAGCTAAATCTTTTTTTTTTTTAATTTATTTTTCTTTTTCATGAAGGAGAAGAGACAGAGAGAGCTAGGCAGAGAAGACAGCACTCTCAGCATTGTCTTGACACTGATCTTTCTTCCCTCAGCCAGCCCTGCATTGTGGGCACCCGGGTGCCTGGTTTACTCAGGGAGGTCTCTGGATGTGAATGGGGAATGTTTCACCACTGTGCCATTGTCTGACCCCCTAACTAAATGTTTATAACTGTGGTTGTTATTTAGTTGTGCTTTTGTTTTTTTAATTGCCAGAGGGCATGTGAGAAAGAGAGAGAGAGAAGGCACCCTCCCAATAAGGTGTGCTCATGCTGTAGTCCTTTTGTCCTCTATTTCCTCTATGCCTGTCAGGATGTTAGGCATGGATTTGAACCACAGTCTAGCCATGTGGGATATAGCTACCCATGCACAGCACCCAACTGCTATATTATGGGGATAGCCTTGTTTTTGTTTTTGTTTTTTGTTAGCAGGTGCATGTACTTGCTGGAGAGAGGGAGATGAGAAAATATCCCCTCTGGGGAATGGTCACACTGTAATCTCTTCTTCATCTATCCACCTTTTGGGATTTTGTACATGCACGCACATGGACCTGATGTGTTTCTCAAGCCACCAGGCCTGGCCTTGAACTGCACAGTCAGCCATGTGGCATCTGGCCTATTTTAACTAGCAGGCCTTGGAGCCATCCAGTCTTTTCAGAGAACCAGCTTTTGGTTTTGTTGAGATGAATGAAAATGAAGACATAATATACAGTAACCTATAGGATACTGGTAAAGCAATACTTAGCAGGAAATTTGTAGCTTAAAATGGTGAAAAAACAAACAAACAAACAAACAGGAATGGCCCTGTAGTCCAGTGGTTAAGGGAGCTAGACCCGACATGACTGATCATGGTTTGAATCCCAGCTCTGGCAGCTTGAAAAACATATGAGGCATGTGTGCATGAGTGCCCAAAGTCCTGATAGGATGGAGAAATGGAGAAAGTGTTGCAGCATGACCATGCCTCATGAGGGAGGTGCTAACCCCACAGGCCCTCCACCTCTTTGTCTCTCTGGCAAGTTCATGCACCCTCTGACACCACACCCCTCTCCCCCCCAAAAAAAAAAAGAAAAGAAAGAAAGAAAGAACCAACTTTTAGTTTCATTCTGCCTATTCCACCTCTGGGCATTTATGTAATCTCTTTTGTCCTCCTCCTTTTCTCAAGATTATACAATTTCAGGGAACCAGCAGTTAGCGTAATGGCTATGCTGCTGGACTCCCACGTAGTCAACCGCGGTTTGCATCCCAGACCCGGTGGCTTAAAACTCATGCCGGGCGCGTGTGCGTGCGTGCCCAAGATCCCGAGAGGAGAATTGCGGTGTGACCATCCCCCGGGGGGTGATTTCTCGCTTTCTGTCTCTATGTCTCTCTCTGTCTGTCTGGTGAACGCACGTGCCCTATAGCGAAAAAAACCTCTCCAAAAAAAGAAAAAAATAAATAAAAGATTATACAATTTCAGTCTTTGGGGAGAGAATTTAAGAAACTATAAATTTTTTTTGTCTTTACAGATGTTAGAAGGGAGAAGCAAAATTTCTGTCAATGATTTCATCATAAAAGCTTCAGCTCTGGCATGTTTAAAAGTTCCTGAAGCAAATTCTTCTTGGATGGACACAGTTATAAGACAGTAAGTCCAACTAGAGTGGCACATATCTAGCAGCAGTTTTTCTGTTATATAATCTGTAACTAGAAATTTTAGGTAGTCAGGAGAAATGGAATACACAAGGGCAGATGTCTTCCATATGTGAAAAAATTTGAAAACAACATAAAACTATGAGATAGTACTAAATTTAGTTCATAAAGGTTATAAATTATGCAAATTCAGAAAAGGGAGATCAGTGTACAGATATGTATAACTAGGTTGATAGTGACTCTCACAAAGCAGAATTTAAAGAAATGATTTTTTTTTTCACCTGAGTTATGCTGCACTTGAGGGGCACAATTGAAAACAGTGTTTGTTAATATGATGGTGGCATGTGACTGCCATGGTATTCAATGTGTTTCACCTTGCCTCATTCTTAGTCTCCTCTAGGGCTGGCAGGTGGTGTGGTGAAGGTGCTAAAATCCCACATGGCATGGTTTGAGTCTCGATCCTGGTGGCTTACTTCCTCACTTTCCCTCTCTCTTTCTCTTTCTGTCTCTCTCTGGTCAAATTTAAAGATAATAATCATAAATAAAATTAAATAATTCTTTAAAAAATAGTCTTCCTTATGGCTTAAGTGTTTTCACTCCCATTTTCTAGACAAAGAAACCAAGGCCCACTGAGTTGCGTAATTTGCTGTGAGTTAATGTTCAAATAGTGAAGAGAACCATTTTCAGCTATGTAGTTGCTTTCTATTATTATTCTGAAAGCAAAAAGTTTCTCTTTCTGCTCTACTCTCTTAGACTCATAGCATACTTTTGTGACCAGATGTGTGTAGGGGTGGTATTTTCTGCCACATCAACCAAGCTGTCAGTTCTATGGCAATCCCCACCTAGCTGTTCTCTAATTCAGTTCAATTCTGATGCTGTGTACTTGGCGATGGTGTCAGAGCTCACAGTTTGAGGGTTCATTTCATAAGACTGATGCTACTTAAAGTGCCAGTTGCAAGTCTGAGCCATTTGTACTTCGACTGACTATTCTTTTTTCCTCTGCTTAAGCTGTGAAATTTTTTCTTTTTCTTTTTTTGGAGAGGTTATTTTTTTTTGCTATAGGGCACATGCGCTTGCCAAACAGAGACAGAGAGACAGAAAGCGAGAAATCACCCCCCGGGGGGATGGCCACACCGCAATCCCGTCTCCTCCATTCTCCTCTCAGGATCTTGGGCACGCACGCACACGCGCCCAGCGTGAGTTTAAGCCACCAGGTCCGGGACTCGAACCGCAGTCGACTACATGGGAGTCCAGCGACATAGCTATTACGCTAACTGCTGGTCCCAATTTTTAAATTTTTAATGACCAACACCTGACCAACAGGCTGTAGGCTGGAGTCCTCATGACCCCCTCCTTAGGTTTAACAAATTTGCCAGAATGGCCCATAGAATTCAGAAGCACTTACTTATGCTTACTGGTTTATTATAAAGATATTACAAAGGATACAGATGAACATCAGACAAAGTGATGAGTAGGGTGAGATATGAGAGTGAGGTACAGAACTTCATGCCCCCTCTGGGTTCATCACCCTCCCAGATCCTCCAGGGGGTTCAGCAACCTGAAAGCTTATCCACTCTTGTTCAAGAGTTTATAGAGTTGGGGAACCAGCAGTTGGCGTAATGGCTCTGTCACTGGACTCCCACGTAGTCGACCACATTTCGAGTCCCGGACTCAGCTTAAACTCACGCCAGCTGCATGTGCGTGCATGCCCAAGATCCTGAGAGGAGAATGGAGGAGAAGGGATTATGGCATGGCCACCCCCCCAGGGGGTGGTTTCTCACTTTCTGTCTCTGTCTTTCTGACAAGTGCTCATGCCCTATAGCAAAAATCTCCAAGAAAAATAAAATAAAATAAAAAAGAGTTTATAGAGTTGGATCTCCAAGTCAGTGAGTAGGGCTTGAAAGTTCCAACTCTAAAATCCTCTCATCTCTTGGTGACTAGCTCCATTCTGAGATTATCTAGGGGGCCTCACCCTGAATCACTTCATTAGCACAAACTCAGGAGTTAGCAAAGGGGCTCTTAATGAATAACAAAAGATATTTCTACCCAGGAAATTTTAGAGGTTTTAGAGTTCTATGACTGGAACTGGAATAGAGACTAAATATGTTTCATATTATACCCCAATTATTAATTTTTATTAGTTATATTTATTAGTTTAATTTTTACTAAAGTATATGGATTGGAATATTGCTCTGTGAATTACAGTGACCCACTCTAACCTTTAATCTGAGCTCTATTCCCAAGAGACCAATAGCTTTTATTTATTTATTAATTTTTAAGAGAGATTTTTTGCTATAGGGTACTTACTCTCACCAGAGAAACAGACACAGAGAGACAGAAAGTGAGAAATCACTACCCCTGCCCTTCCAGGAGAAATGGCCACACTGCAGTCCCTTTTCTTCCATTCTCTCGGGATTCTTGGGCATGCACACACATGCACCCTGTGTGAGTTTTAAGCAACAGGTCCAAGATACAAACTGCTGTCAGCCACCTATGGGAGTCTAGCAACATAACCATTACGCCATCTGCTGGTCCCAGGAAAATAGCTTTTAAACTCTTGTTTCTTCTGGAATTTATTTACTTTAAGAATTATTTTATTTTAATTTTATTTATTATTATTTCCAATTTGATCAGAGAGAGACAGAGAGAGAGGGAAAGTGAGAAAGCAAGCCACCAGTTCCGGGACTTGAACTGTCGTCGGCCATGTGGGAGTCTAGTGCCTCCAGCCACCATGCGACCTGCTGGTCCCCTTCTGGGATTTATTTTGAGATTTCTAAATACATTTTTCTGTTACCTTTTATTAATTTTTGTTTACTTTATCAAGTGACTTTAAAGAATGTTAAGATTTAGCTTTGTTTTGCCCTCCTTACACACACATACCCCACCATTCTCCTAAACTGATTATAGTACAAATTTGAATTAAATCTATATTCAGTGTTGTTTTTCTTTCATATATATGTAAATATATATCACCATATCTACCTACCTATCTATCTATCTATATGTGTATATATATATATATACACATATTTATTTATTTTAGGTTTTTGCCATATGGTATGTGTGCTTGCCAGAGTGAAAGTGAGAAATCAACTCCCAGAGTGGATGGCCACACCACAGTCTCTTCTTTATTGTCCTGGGATTTTAGGCACACACACACAGACCCAGTGTGATTTTTTTTTTAAGCCACCAGATCTGGGACTCGAACTGGGGTCGACCGTGTGGGAGTGCAGCGCCTTCACTGTGCCACCTGCTAGCCCTCTTTTTTTTGGGGGGGGGAGAGGTTTTCGCTATAGGACTTGTGCGCTCGCCAGAAAGACAGAGACAGAGAGATAGAAAGCGAGAAATCACCCCCCCCAGGGGGGATGGTCACGCCGCAATCCCTTCTCCTTCATTCTCCTCTCGGGATCTTGGGCATGCATGCACACGCACCCGGCGTGAGTTTTAAGCCACCATGTCTAGAGCGTGAACCGCGGTCGACTACGTGGGAGTCCAGCAACATAGCCATTACACTAACTGCTGGTCAAGTAGTAGTATTTTTTTAAGAGGTTTTTGTCTTAAGGCATGTACGCTTATTGGAGAGACACAGAGACAATGAGAGGGAAAGTGAGAAATCACCTCCCACAGGAGATGGCCACGCTGTAATCCCGTCTCTTCTATTTTCCTCCCAGGATCTTGCACATGCACATGCCCCAAGCGTGATTTGTTGTGAATTCTTTTTGAAACTCTCTAGAACTCTTAAACCATTTCTTAATCTGGTTAGGGATACTGGTTAATCTATTGGTTCTTTTTCCTTGGTCACATCTCAGGGTCTAACATTCCATGTAAGCTGTATTAGTTCTCTCGGGCTGCTTTTAAGAATTGCCACAAAATTGATGACTTGAAATAGAAATTTGGGCCCGCCAGAGGCATGGTGGTTAGGGTGGTGGGATTCCACATGGCCTATCATGCAGTTTGAGTCCTGGACCCAGCAACATGCTGGGCACTGGTGTGCATAAAAGGAGGCAGAAATCAAGAAGGAGTTACAGTGTGACTACCCCCATGGGAGGTGCTTTCTCACTCTTTCTTTGGTGAGTGTACATGCCGTCTGGCAAAATTTCTAAGAAAATGAAGAAAGAAAATTGTTTTCTCACATTCTAGAGACCAGAAGTTCAAATCAGGTGTCAGCAGTGCCGTACTCCTTCCCAAGGCTCTGGGGGATACCCCTCCTTGCCTTTTCCAGGTGCAGTGTCCCAGGGCAGGTCTTGATTTTTTTAGTTGCATAATTCTAGTTTCTACCTGTGTCTTTGCTTCACATTGTCTATGTCATATCTTTTAAGGACACTACACTTGGCATTGGGCACCCAGATAATCCATGATGACTTTAAGATTCTAAATTATGCCTTGAAGACCTTATTGCTGGTCTGTAGTAGACACCGTTACAGGCCATGTCTTTCAATTCTCTCCCTGCAGGATGTGTTTCTTTTTAGATGCATGCCCTTCCCATTATCGTCATGATGCTCTTCATCACAGCAGTGATACACAATGAGTGCTTAAACAATTTATATTCATTATTTAGTTCTCCTGAGAACCTTGTGAAGTAGGTACCATATTTGTCTCCATTTCACAGATGAGGAAACTGAACACAGTGATATTAAGTTACCTGCCCAAGGACACAGAGCTAGTAAATGGTGAGCTGAGATTTGAATTTCAGCTGTCTGAATCCAAATTAAAACCTACCCTTGAGCCAGACTTTGATGCTACATCATATCTATTGGAATTGAAACTAATTTTAAAGCTTAGCTGAAGTTCTACCTTTTGGTGTCTTAGGCAAAAATAAATTCCCTGCCTTCTGAATAGTTCATGTATTACTCATTTGGTAATTATATTAATGCAACAAGGTTTGTTATGTATTGGTTTGCTTTTGTTTGTTTTTGAGAGAGATTTTTTGCTGTAAGTCATGTGCACTCACTGGAGAGACAGAGACAGACAGCAAGAAATCACGCCCCCACCACCCCACCACCCCTCCCACTACTACCCCCCCACGCCCTCCACTCCCACCCCCGCGAAGGATAGCCACACTGCAGTCCCTTCTCCCTGGATCTTGGGCATGCACGCACATGTGCCCAGTGTGAGTTTCAATCTGTCAGGTCCCGGACTGTAACTGTGATTGACTACATGGGAGTCCAGCACCTTAACTCCTAAGCTACCTGCTGGCCCCTAGGTTTGCTTTTTAAATTTTTTCTGTAAGTAGATGGTTCATCTTTTTATGTAGATTTTACAGAGTTGTCAGGGAAGTCATGGTGTATTTTTCTATGTGACCCACAAGTATCCTGAAGGTGGGCGTAGTTTCTTATATTCCTTAAGTCTCCTGTGTGCCCAACATATAGGCACTTTTTTCCCAACAGCTTTATTTGCTAAAATTTACATACCATAAAATTCACCTGTCTTAAGTGTACAGTTCTGTGATTTGTTAAATGTACAGAGTTGTGCAGTTTTTTCTTTTTTTTTAACCACAATCTTGTTTTAGAAATCACCATCAAGCCCCCACAGATCATCCAGGCCCCTAGTGAATCGCTGTCTCTACCCCCATCCCCTGGGTAGTCTGTTCTGCTATCTGTAGAGGTTTGTCTTTTCTAGACCTGTCATAGAAATGATTCATAAAACATGTGGTTTTTGGCATTTGATTTCTTTCACTTAACAATGTTTTTGAGACTCATCTATGTTCTAGCATGTTTCATTAGTTTATTCTTTTTTTATTGCTGAATAGTATTATTCAGCAATAAAAACTCCCCCCCCCCCGCCCCGAGGCCTAGTTATGTGTGTGTATGAAATTTTTTCCTAGATTGCAGAACACTTTAGTAGGGGTCTTAGTCTTACCCCATTGAGACTATGGATAAAACTCAGGAATTTTTAGACTTGGTTGGGGGGAAGGGATAAATCACTTTTTAAAAAAATATTTATTTAATTTTATTATTATTACTGTTATTAATTATGTATTTTTTAAAATAATTTTTATTTTATATATCTATTTATTTATTTCAATTTGACCAGAGAGGCACAGAGAGAAAGAGAGAGAAAGCGAGAAAGCAAGCCGCCAGGTCCAGGACCTGAACCACGGTCGGCCATGTGGAAGTCCAGCACCCTTAACCACCACGCCACCTGCCAGCCCCCACGTAATGTATTTTTAAGATTGCATAGGGCACATGCATTTAGCAGAGAAAGAGGGGTAAGGGAGAAAACAAGCTGCCAGGTCCAGGACTCAAACTGTGGTAGACCATGTGGGAGTCCAGCGCCTTAACCACCACACCACTACCTGCTGGTCCCCACTGTATTTTTTAACTCTACTGAAAATGAACATTTCTCCTACTATAGAGAACAAATCAAAGAGGGACTGGCAGGTGGCATGGCGGTTAAGGTGCAAGACTCCCATATGGCCAACCGCAGTTCGAGTCCCGGACCTGGCAGCTTGCTATCTCTCTCTCCCCCTGCCCCCAACTCTGGTCAAATGAAAATAAATAAATAAACTTAAATAAAATAATTCTTTAAAAAATTCTTTTAAATAAAGAAAACAAATCAGTGACATGTTAACAGCACTTAAAGTTGCTGACCAATAAAAATCAGTTATTCTCATGTAGCGTTATAGTTGTTGAATATATTGTGATTTGTTTTGCTCATTACTATTTAAAATGATAGTTATTATTAGACCTGTGATAAGATCTTCTTATTGAATCAATAGAGAAGCACATGTATCACAATTTTTTATGAATAGTTTGATAACTGAATTTTAGTGTAGTTTTTGTCTTTTTAGTAATTTTGAGTATTTTATTTTAGTGAGGTAAAACATTTCTGATATCGAATTTAAATACGTAGGGACCCACGGCATACATGGGTAATTCTTCTTCTATGTTCATCTCAGACATTAGCAAGCTTATGTTCTGAATATTCTTGTTTTTTCCCCACAGTGCAGTTTTTTCCCTCCACTCTTCTCTTTCCTCTTTTTTTATCTTTTTTTTTTTTTTCTCCATAGGACTCACATGCTTGCAGGAGAGAGACAGAGAGAGGGAACGTGAGAAATCATCCTCTGGGGGGGTAGCCATGGGCTTTTGGGCATGTAAGCACATGCACCTGGTGTTGAGTTTTAAGCCATGTGGTCCAGGACTTGAGTTGCAGTCAGCCATGTCAGAGTTCAGCAGTGTAACCACACACCTTCTGCTATAGGGCATGTGCACTTACTGGAGAGACAGAAAGAACGTGATAAATCACCTTGCAGGAGGGATGACCATGCTACAATCCCTTCTCCATTCTCCTCTTGGGATTTTGGGCACACATGCATATGTGCCCGACATGAATTTCAAGCCTCCAACATGAATTTCAAGCCTCCAAGTCTGGGACTCAAACCACTGTCAACTATGTGACAGCCAAGTACCTTAATCACTATGCCCTCTGCTGCCCTCCCCCCCATTCGATATTAAAAGTATAAGAGGGCACAGCAAAACGTGAAAACCAGGACACATATCTGTGGCTGAACAGTAGCAAATACTGGTTCTAAAATGTTTTTAGAGTTAATATCAGTATTCTTGCTTAACTGTCACATAGGCTCTTGATAAACACTGTTCTCTTTTTAACAGAAATCATGTTGTCGATGTCAGTGTTGCGGTCAGTACTCCTGCAGGACTCATCACACCTATTGTGTTTAATGCACATATAAAAGGGCTGGAAACCATTGCTAATGATGTTGTTTCTTTAGCAACCAAAGCGAGAGAGGGGAAACTGCAGCCACATGAGTTCCAGGTAAGGTATTATTTATACCTTCTGAATTTTAAGGATATGTTTAAGGTTAACATAATGCTTTTATTCCATTTTCTACCTTTTGAATCTGCCACATATTTGTTACTGACGAAGATTTTGAAAATAAAGAAAAACTGAGTCTCATATCAAAAGCTGAGTATAAGATATTTTCCAACTGTGTGCAAAAGTTAATGCAACTTTTTTTTTAAGGATTATTTTATTTAACTTTCTTTATTTATTTAAATGTTATTTAACTTAGCTATTTATTTTTATAAATTTGGCCAGAGAGAGACAGAGTGAGTGAGAGGGAGAGAGAGGGGGAAAGTGAGAAAGCAAGCTGCTAGGTCCAGGACTTGAACCGTGGTAGGCCATGTGGGAGTCCAGTGCCCTTAACCACCAAGCCACCTGCCAGCCCCACAACTTGGTTTCGAGTCCCAGACCTCGTGGCTTGCTTTCTCACTTTCCCCCTCTCTCTCCCTCTCACTCACTCTGTCTCTCTCTGGCCAAATTTATAAAAATAAATAGCTAAGTTAAATAACATTTAAATAAATAAAAGTTAAATAAAACTCTTTCTCTAAAGACTTATTTTATTTATTATTATTATTTTGCTATCGGGCACATTTGCTCACCAGAGCTGGGGGTGGAGGGCAAGCCACCAAGTCTAGACAAGAACCACAGTCAGTCATGTGGGAGTCCAGTGCCACACCACACCACCTGCTGGCCCTATAACTGACGTGTTTTCATATTGTAATAGTTGTGTACTTTTGGTAATGGGTGCTCTATTCAAGCCTTTCTTAAAATTATTTTAAGGTCTTTTCACAGAATATTTTTAGTTTTCTGATTAAGGTTGATGAACAATATGATTTTTTTTAAATCTTTTTTTCTCTAGGGTGGCACTTTTACAATCTCCAATTTAGGGATGTTTGGAATTAAGAATTTTTCTGCTATTATTAACCCACCCCAAGCATGTATTTTGGCAATTGGTGCTTCAGAGGATAAACTGGTTCCAGCAGATAATGAAAAAGGGTAAGAGAAAAGGAGAAGGAGCTATAACCTCATGTTCAGTGTATTCTGTTGTTTTTTTTTGAGTCTCAAGTTTATAGTCATTGGCATGGTATATTGGAGCTTCAGATAAGTCCAATATAAATGTGCAATAAAATTGCTCAGGGCAGCAGCTTCTCTTATTTTACTAAATGCAGTTTGCCCTATTTGAGATGGAAAGCCTGATTTACTCTAGGTGAGGGGTCAGCACACTTTCTTCAAGAGTTAGGTAGTAAACATGTTGGGCTTTCTGGACCATATGGCCCATCTGCCAGTACAGTGTGAAAGCAGGCATAAACAGTACAGAAATGAGTCCTAGTCAAATTTTAGTAGAGAGCAGGATTTAGCCCAGGGGTTGTCGTTGGCTGATCAGGTTCCAGGTATCCATTTGATCTATTTCTTCGTGCTATTAATTTGAGCTAAAAGTATAAAAGACATGAAGAGTAAGTGGAGAATATTACCTAGTAGGGATATAGGAGTTAGATCTGGGGTGGTTACTGGCTAACATTCACTGGTTGCTTTCAGAATGACTAATGGAGTTTTTATCTTTTTCTAGGTTTGATGTGGCTAGCATGATGTCTGTTACACTCAGTTGTGATCATCGAGTTGTGGATGGAGCAGTTGGAGCCCAGTGTCTTGCTGAGTTTAGAAAGTACCTTGAAAAGCCTATTACCATGTTGTTATAATTATCCCAAGAATTTCTAGACTTTCCCCAGTCACATCACATTATTCATTCTTATCAGTATATTTATATGTTATTAAACAGGTGGTTCTTTTTATTTTAAACTTAACCAGTATTTTTTTTTTTATTGAGTCTGTCCAGATAAGTTATTTGCAATGGGCATTACTGATATTTTTAATGCCAATTATACCCAAATATTGTGCACATTTAATAATTAAACACCAGATTTTAAGCTGTGTACTCCTAGTCCAGGAATGTGTAGCTTGGCCCTTTGGTGATAAGTACTTCCCGCACGTGATGCAGGAGAGGCAGAATTGTGATTCCTGAGAGACAGGTACATACAAGTAAACTGGATAAAACCTCGAAGTCCTGAAATTTATTGTCTAAAATGTTGTACTTAGATATGAAGGATAAAGAAGTTAGAGAAATTAGTTACCTTGGGGCAAGGGATTGAACCAAAGCTTAATTTGAGTATTTATCTCTGGTTTAAAATTTTCTATTACATAACCTTGATTTATCATGGATGGGAAATATAGAAAACTTCAAGGAAAATAAATGTTAAGTCAGCATTTTCTTAGACCTCTTTAACCAACTTCTGTTTATTTCTCTGTGAATCCCTAAGCGGTTGCTTTCCCCTCTTGAGATAAAAATATAAATATAAACCAGCTACTTAACATAGATGAGAATTTGTGTGGGTATTTAAACAATTTAAATTGTGTAAATCTGAGAATTTCTAGTTACTTCCAAATAAAAGAACATGCTTATAGAATTTAATAGAAGTTATGAAAAGCATTTTCCCTCTAAGATTAACTGGTAGTTAATTGTAAATGAACTTATCAGAATTTATAATTCTGGAAAACTCTTTACCAGGCAACTGTGGAGTATATATAGAGTTATTGTACATATGTAAAATATGGTTACTAGAGTTGGTTATGTGCCAAAGTCCACTTATCACCAAGGCCTGTCTGAAAAGAAGGTGGGGAGGGAAACATTGGTAAACAGTTTGGAGTACTAAAAAACGATACACAAGGGGCCAGCAAGTGGCATGGTGGTTAAGGCCCTGGATACTCCCACATGGCCAACCACAGTTCAAGTCCCAGACTTGGTGGCTTGCCTTTTCAGTTTCCCTCCCCCTCTCTCTGTCTCTCTCTCTCTGTCTGGTCAAATTAAAATATATGAATGAATAAATAAAATTAAATAAGTCTTAAAAAAATGATACCCAAAACAAAATGGTAATTTCCATGTGGACAGAGTAAAAAAAAGTTAAAATGTGTATTAAAAAATGTGCTCCAGGCCGGCAGGTGGTATGGAAGTTAAGGCACTAGATCACACATGACTAGCTTTTTGGTTTGAATCCTGGACCTGGGGGCTTGAGAATCATACCAGGCACATGGGCACATGTGCATGCATACCCAAAATCCTTAGGGGAGAGTTAGAAGAGAAGGGATTACACCCCGACCCCCAGGGTCCCTCTCTTTTGGCGAGTACACATGCCATATAGCAAAAACTAAAAAACAAAAATGTGTTCTGTATCTTTCTACCCTAGTGTTGTTTCGTGAGATACACTCTAAAATCCTGTTGAAGAAAGAAAATTAGGTCACCACTTTATCAGCTTAAATACTTTTTTCAGTTTTGTTACATTTTGCCTTTCTTTTTTCGGGGAAGGAGATGATATTCAGGGTAAGAAAAATGAATTGGGAACATCACCACAACTCTGGACTTTGTTTGAATTATGTTTTAATAAATGTTTGGAATTATTTATGACTAAAATCTGACATTGCTTCCTTGTATATGTAGTAAGTGGTGCTGTCCCCTGAAATTTGCTTTAAGTGTTTCAGTGTTGAATCTGCTTCTAAATGTCCATTACTACATGGTACGTAAGTGACTATATGGTCCACATTCACCTTGCTGTGTTATGAAAACAATTCAGTATATTAATGTGACTTTTCAGTAATTAGTAATGTTAGTTTGAGCTGAAGATAATGGAAAAGGAACAAGCTTATCACAAGGGACCATCATTAGCATGAGCCAAATCTGGTTCAAAAACATGACAATTCAAAGATAATTCAGTCTTTGCTAATGCTGATGGTTCTGCCGGTACCTTGAAAGAGAAATAAAAACAGTTGCCTTCTAATAAAAATTGTCCTGAGTTAAAAATTTAGCTATAATCTAAATCTGGCTTTAGTTTATTTCTCTTAGCAGAACTGAAAGAAAAAGTTAGAAACAGTGTTTTTAGTTCAATATTGTTTTAAAATTAAACTGTTATGTTTTCAATATGTCTGGTCTAATTTTTGATCTAATGGTAATTATTTTTCACATTAAATAAGACACAAAGACAGTTACATATGTATAAGCTTAGAAAGAGATAAATTTTAAGTTTGTATAATTTTAAAATAAGGACTGAGTTTAGGGGGATATAATCTAACACTTACTGAAGTACCCAGTGAATGTTGGGGGTGTGGCACTTATTACCAAGATGGAAAGGGTGGTCTGCTCCTCTTAAATGCTTTAGTCCAGGGACCAGCAGGTGGCATAATGGTTATGTTGCTGGACTCCCACATAGTTGACTGTGGTTCAAGTCCTACACCCAGCAGCTTAAAACTCACACTGTGTGTGTGTGTGTGTGTGTGTGCACGCGTGCCCAAAATCCCAAGAGAAGAATGGAGGAGAATGACTTGCGGTGTGGCCATCCCACTGGGGGATGATTTCTGGCTTTCTGTCTCTGTTTCTCGGGTGCGTGCACACTCTACAACAAAAATCTCTCTCCCCCCCCAAAAATGTTTTTGTCCAATTCAGAAGTTTGTGAGTGTGAAGTCGAGTATCCCAAGGCATGGTGTACCAAAGGAGTTAACCAACATGTGAGAAATAACAGGAATATATTACAAGGAATAGTCATCACCTAGTAATATACAAGTTCTGAAATACATGAGGAAACCATAATTACTACTGAAAAGTGATCTAAAATTAAGTTTGTAGAAAAATTTGGTCTCTAAATAAATAGTTAATTTCCACCTCAAATCATTTCTAATTTGAGAAAAATATGTTGGTAAGAGTAAAATTTAAATCAGAATATAGTTCACTATTAGTTAATAACTTTCCTGAGCAATGTTTTGCTTTTTGTAGCAAGGGAGATTTAAGAGAGATTTTTATTAATATAAAATATATTGAATAAGAGAATATCTTGGAAATAACAAGAATGTAAGTTTACCACTTTAACATTAAGTATATAGATCTTGATTTGCATTTCATTAATGAATACACAAAAATATAGATACTGACGTTAGTAGCACCTAAGTGCAAAGTGCAAGAGTAGAGATAGGATCATTTTTATGTAGTTAGGTAGGGGGAATTTCTAGGAAATGTTTTGGCCGTCATTTTGTAGAAGAAAAGATGGTGAATGCATTCCAAGTTTTTTGAAGGGTGAGAATATAAGTTTAATTTTAGGGCATTATACAGTTTCATAAAATTTTTAGAAGATCAGTTACCCTATTGCTAGTAGAATTCAAATACAGGCCAGGCTTAAAAAAATTATTCGCTCATTTTAAGTATGTCACATATCAACTATTCCTATTATGTATACATTATTATTAAGTTTAAAAGATTTTTTTTTTGGGGGGGGGAGAGGTTTTCGCTATAGGGCGTGTGCGCTCGCCATACAGAGACATAGAGACAGAAAGCGAGAAATCACCCCCCAGGGGGGATGGTCACACCACAATCCCTTCTCTTCCATTCTCCTCTTGGGATCTTGGGCACGTGCACATACACACGCCTGGCGTGAGTTTTAAGCCACCGAGTCCGGGACGCAAACCACGGTCGACTATGTGGGAGTCCAGCGACATAGCCATTACGCTAACTGCTGGTTCCCAAGTTTAACAGTTTTAAAATTAGTAAGAACTTTATGGACCTAATGTTGAACTACATACTAGTAATTACAAGGAAGCTGTTTTGCCTATAAAAGATGATTAAGGGATATTTAAAAGTTTGATGTTCAAGAGCAGGTAAGTGGTGTGGTGGTTAAGGTGCTGGACTCCCACATGGCTAACCATGGTTCAAATCCTGGACTGGGTGGCTTAAAAGTCATGCCGGGTGCATGTATGTGCATGCCCAAAATCCCAGGAGGAGAACTCAAGGAATTACAGCATGGCCATACGCCCTGTGGGGTGATTTCTCACCTCTCTCTATAGTAAGTGCATGTACCCTATGGCAAAAATTTCTCTAAAAAGAAAAAGAAAAAATTTACTAGAGATGAAAAAAAAATTATTTAACCAGTACACCAGCCAGTGGTGTAGTGGTTGAGGCAGCTGAATTCCACTTGATGACTGCAGTTCGAGTCCTGGACCTGGCAGCTTGAAAAAAATGCCAGGAGCATGTATGTAGATGCTCAAAATCCCAAGAGAATGGAGGAGGGATTGTAGTATGACTGTCCTCCTTGAGGGGCAGTTTCTCACCCCTCCATCCTGTCTCCAGTGAGCGCATGCACCTGAAAGCAAAAACTTAAAAATGTTTACACCAGTATGCTAAGAGTTCTGACGTGTTACAGTCACAGTTTCCCCAAATGATATATTTGAAACAACACATCATGGTAATACTATTTTTAAGTTTCTAATCAATGCCAAATTTATTTGAGGAGAAAGAGAAAACATCATTCTATCAAAAGGAACTTTTTGACAATGTGTAGTGTTTAGATAAATCACAACACTTTTACCCACAATGAAGGTCCTATAAGTCACATGACCTTAGCCCTGAAAACCCAAAATATGATGGTTTTGTTTCATACCAATGGCATTGTGATGATTAATGTAGATTTCTCTTTGATAAATTTTGCTGTAGTCTTTTCAGTATCAACAGTTTCTGGAAGATTCAGATGTAATCTGTACTTCTCAGAGACCTCAATCAATAAATCATCCTAAGAACAGTAAACCAAGAGAGACTTTTAAAAATAGAAAATAATTTCCTGTTTAAAATTTGTTTATTGTTCTCAGTTATTTAATCCCTTCCCATAAAAGGATCCCACATATAGCCATGTGATTTGCAATAAAATTAACTGCTGCAAATCTCTGAATTTTGAGGTGGTTATTACTCCTCAATACATCAAATGTTCACTGACACAATACCAGAAGGAAGGTATTGCTGTCCTAAATTATGTGACACTGACTTTAGGCCTAGCCAGCAAACAGCAGACACATGGGAGCTGGGGAAAACGGTGACTCATGTTTCAGTGAAACTATCACGATAATTTGGAAGACAAATAATGAACCTAGTTAATTTGTGGCTTTGGATACAAAGTGGAAAAACAAAATGTTGGCAGCATGTGTTGGCTCCATTGGCTACACTTACCAAAGTATAAGAAGATGAGTTTAAAAAAGAACTGCCCAGTTCATAAATAGAATTGAAAGAGAGTAGTGCTCCAAAATTCTACGATTTTTTTTTTGTTTTTGGTATAGGGCTCATGCGCTCGCCAGAAAGACAGAGAGAGACAGAGAAACAGAAAGCAAGAAGTCACTCCCTCAAGAGGGATGGCCATGCCGCAATCCCTTCTCCATTCTCCTTTCAGGATCTTGGGCATGCACACACACACCCGGAGTGAGTGGAAGCCACCGGGTCCAGGACTCAAACCGCGGTCAACCACATGTCCAGCAACATAGCCATTATGCTAACTGCTAGTCCCCAAAATTCTAAGATTTGATGGCTGGAAAACAGAACATTATATTCAACCAATAAAGGATAAAATAAAAATAGTTGATCAAGGACTAATTAAAACAATCTAGAGACAAAGACTGAATGACAGGTTTTTATGCCTTTTGTTAAAATCTCGGAATAGAGGGGCTTGCATGGAACGGTGGTTAAGGGCACTGGACTCCCACATGGCTGACTACGGTTTGAGTCCCAGACCTGGTGGCTTGCTTTCTCACTTTCCCTCTCTGGTTAAATTAAAATAAATAAATAATGAAGTTAATAGAATAACTCTTTGAGGAAAACAAAACAAAACAAAACAAAAACGAAACCTCTGAATAGAGGCCAGCAGTTGGTGTGAAAGTTAAGGTAGCTAGATCCTACATGGCTGGCTGTGCAGTCAAGCTCTGGACCAAACACACTAGGGTGTGTGTGTGTGCATGCACGGTCCAGTCATTTCTATTTTTCTTCTGCTTTGAAAATAGCATGTAACAGATGGGAATGGCTTCTTCACTTGAATCTTGAAATGGGCAAGACTGGTGGAATCTGAGCTAATTATTGTAAGCCCCTGAAATTTCAGAGTTCATTATGATGGCATAATGAAGTAAATGCTGACTGATACAGATTTACCGTATTATTTATTCAACTTACCTCAGAAACCCTAAGGTCACAGAGGGAGATTGAATTAATACCAGGTAATTCAACTTTCAGTTCAATTTTTAGAGGTTTCTCATTCTGATCATTTATAATTTTTAATTCATTGGCTGGTATCTTCATATCCACCTGGATTTCAGCACTGGAAATCTCTTCTATCAGACAATTTCCTTTGCCTGAAGCTTGGGTTTTTGGTAGTAACAGCTGAGGAAAGTGATCTGAATTGCTCGCAGTACTGTTTATCTGTTCAAGAGTGAGTTCTTTATAACATAATAAAGGGGATGTAAAATTTAAAAATCAACAACAAAGTACTATCAGCTATATTGATTTTATATACACAGATATGCAAACATCTTAAATTGGTTTAATTTTCCATTTACATTAATCAACTTACCCTTTCTCATTTTCTCACTTAAATTTGTGGGATCAGTTTGGATTCGCATCAGATTTTGTTTCATTCTTTGAATGCTTCCTTTTATTCTAAATTTGGTAATATGATAAGAGTGTGAGAGAGTAAACTGCAGTTGTTCCTCAATACACTTCATGGCCATCCGTATTAACTGATCTTTTTTCACTTGGTCCTTTTCTGCTGCCTGAACAACATCAGGATTGTAGGCAACACTGATGACTGTGTAAGCATCTGTGTGTAATTCAGAGTAGGAAATGAAAACAATTTGTTTCACTAATAATTGTTAGAGAAGCTGTATAATTGCATAATTGTTACCATATTCCTGAAAAAGCTACAAGCTATAACTTCTATTCCTATGTTTTTCAGAAGTAATCACAATGGTACAAAATTCTAGTTAGGGCATTTCTTGGCATTTTTATATAGGTTAAAAACAGTTCACATTAGAGAAAGTAAACAGTATTAAGTTTGCATAAAGTACACTAATTTGTCATTAATTGTATTATCAGCAAAATATTTTATTTGAAATGTTTATTAACGAGTAAAATCCAGCCCATGTGCATTCTCAATGATATTTAAATGTGCTTTCTCTCCCTCAGTTCTTTGTACCTGATGTCTCAAATATATCTTCTGCTCTGCCAACACTGAGAGGTACTGGATAAGTAGATGATTGGGGAGGTGGGATCCTCTTCCACTGACATAAGTTGATATAAAGTATTTTTTCCATTGGTTTCTAGAAAGCAAATATTTTTTAAAAAGATTTTTTTTCCATGCACTTACCAGAGAGAGAAAGAGAGAGAGAGAAAGTGAAATAACTCCCTATGGAGGATGGCCACACTAAAATCCCTTCTCTTCCATTGTCCTTTTGGCATTTTGGACACCCATGCACACACACATGGCATGTTTTTCAGGATGCCAGATCCGGGACTTGAACTGTGGAGTGGCCTCAGATACAGAGCCTTAATCATCACACCTCCTGCTGACCCAAAAGTAAATAATTTTATACCTCAATACCTAGTTTTATAAAAAATCATTATCTTAAGACCAGCAGATGGCATAATGGTTATGTCACTGGACTTCCATGTAGTCAACTGTGGTTCAAATCCCAAACTCGGTGGCTTAAAAGTCACACTGGGCACATGTGTGTGCATGCCCAAAATTACGAGAGGAGAATGGAGGAGAAGGGATTGTGGCATGGCCATCCCTTCTAGGGAATGATTTCTCACTTTCTGTCTCTGTCTTTCTGGTGATCGTACATACCCTATAGTAAAAAATCTCTCTTAAAAACATGTAATGTCTTATCACAGAATTGAGAGAGGGAGAATTTTAGGTACTAGGTAAGTCATTCCATATATTAAAACTGATCAATTATATTCTCCCTCTCTTTTTTTTGGGGGGGGGAGGCAGAGGATGTGTATTCTAGCCAGAGAAAGGAAAAAGCACCTCTCAATAGGGTGTAGTCATGCTGCAATCTCTTCTCGTTTATTTCTTCACACTGTCAGGGTTTTGGGAATGCAAATACACATACCTGGTGTATTTTTCAAGCCACCTGGGCTGGGACTCAAATTGTAGTTGGCCAATACCATCTTTCAAAGCACATTTCACTTTCTATCAATATTTAGAGAGGCAGTTTTTCTCAAGTTTTCTTTTTTTAAAAAGCATTGTTTATTCAATTTTATTTATTCATTTATTTATTTTAATTTTGCCAGAGAGAGAAAGTGACAAAACAAGCCCCCAGGTCGGGGACTCAAACCATGGTTGGACATATGTGAGTGTCCAGCATCTTAACCACCACACCACTTGCTGGTCCCCTTTTCTTAAGTTTTCCTGTGTAATGGTAGCGATAGCTATGGATAACATATTCTCTGGTCATTTCAGATTCACTTCATTCAAGACCTCTTCATCACTGGCTCCAACACTACATACCAAGATCCTGGTCTGCAGACAGAGCTGTGGTTCTGGGGCAGCACAGAGCTCTTTTCCCTCTTTCAGCTGATGTTGAATGAACTTCTCATAGCGCTCAGGGTCACTTTCAGCCATATCGTCTAAGAGGTTCCAGAATTGAGTAATTTGGTTGAGCAGACCCTTTGAGGATATCTCCATGATTGCCAGTAAATAGGCCTCTTAAATCTGTGGAAAGACATGACTTAAAGGGGAAAAAAGTGTCTGTTTAACTACAGAATCCTTCCTCTTTTCAAAAAGAACTGGTCCAGGAATTGTTTTGGCAAAGTTAGCAGCTATTCTTACCAACTGTGTCACTGGCACCACTTCTCATCTTATTTTCTAATTACCTAGTATCCTTTCCTAAATTCTCAAGTTATTCTTACCTGGACCCTCACAAGCACTGAGGAAGCAGACACACCATTTTAAGTCTGTATTTCCTGATAATCTTGTTCTAACACTTGGTTTTAGCTGTAGATGCCTCCCTAGCTCTGAAACTGCAGGAAGTTGTGTCAAATGAGACTTCCTTAATCATTAATGTAGCTTCGTAGTTAAAAGCATGGCCTTTGAAGCCAGAATGATTGCAATCCCTCAGTAGCTTATTCCCTTTCTGTGGTACTTTTAGGCAATTAATGTGTACGTGTTATATAAAATCAGCTTGTTTTGCTCTGAAAAAGAGGAGAGGGAGACAGCGGTGTAGCAGTACAAGGCGACACTCCTGGGATGCCAATCCCACATGGGAAAGTCCCTGGGCCAAGTCTGGAGACCTCCCTGAGTACTCCAGCAAGTGTGTGCCCTTGAACTGGGGCTGTCTGAAGGCTAGAGGCAGATGCCAGAGGGGTGGATGCCAGGGTCAAGGTTCTGTTGGGAGTGTTTTCTTCCTGTCTCTATCTAGTTCACGAAAGAAAGAAACCGAGACTGTAATTCCTATCTCATAAGGTTATCATGAGGATTATGTAAATTAATACGAGGCTGGAACATCTAGTAAACGTTTTATGAGAGTAGTAATGTCCTCTCTCAGTCTTGAGATAACCCTGCTCGATCCCCTTTTCCATCCCGCAGCATCCTCAGAATGAGGAAAAGGGGAGGTTGAGATGCTTTGAACACTATATTTGGATTAAATTAAATGAAACTAAATTAGACTTAACCCACCTACTAAATTAAACTTTACTAACAATCATTGCAGACGTCTGCGAACCCACCTCTTCGCTCGGTCCCTTGATAAACCGCGACGCCTGTTACCAGGGTAACCAGGCTTGGTACAACATCTAATTGACTCCGGGAAGTTCCGGCAGAAAGATTCCTTACAATCAGTTCCGGAATCTCTCTTTTCTGGTCCGGGCTTGCGTTTTGGCCCGGCCTGACCCACTTTCTCCAGGAAAGCGCCTCTCTCTCTCCTGCACCCGTCGACCCCTGGCGGGTCCTAAAAACCCTCCGCGTGGGAGTCTCTGGAGCTCCCGTTGGTGGGAAAAAGTCCTCAGGAGCACGACTTCCGGCCCGAAAAGGAAGTCTCCTTCTTTTTCTCCCAGACCGCTTCCTTTCCCCCACCCCCGCCACGCGAGGCTGCGGCGCACGGTATGGGTGTGTTTGTGTGTGTTTGTGTGGGGAGGGCGTGTGGAGGGAAGGTTACCCGGAGCTCCAAGGCCGCTGGGGAGCAGGGATCCCGGTGACGAAGATGGGGGTATTTCCCCTGTTTTCCACTTGGAAACTTCAGACCTCCCTTCAGGCTCCCTAGACACTTCCTGGGGCCCAGCCGAAGGTTTTACCCACCCAAAACGTCCGCATTTTTGGGGGGAGTGAAACTCAACCCCTGCGGTCCATCCCAGCGGAGCGTGAGCAGGGAATGCCTGGGTCAACTGGGCCGTCGGGATTCCGCACCGGCGCCGCCTCCGGATTCAATCCAAAAGAGACATCTGTCTGTCTGTCTGGGCTGGGGGAAAGGCGTTTGTGGCCTGGGCCACAGTGAGGGCAGAATAACCGGTGGGAAGGCTGCGTTTTCACGAAGGACTCGGGTGAAGCTGCAGAGCTGCCTTTGAGCCCTGACTCGTTGGCTTCGTGGGTCGGAGGAGATCTTGTAATGGAGTGGTTCTTCGTCTCACACTAACAAGATGCCTGATTTCCTCAGGATCGAGGGGTGAGTGAGCATTGGGGTGGGTGCACAAAGCCCATGCTAGCAACACACGTGAATACCCTCGTCATCTCATAGTTGTTGGAGACATCTGTACAGAATAGGAAACAAAGTGCCTCTGAATGAGGAGTTAAGGATGTCTTTGTGTGTGATGTTTTCAGGTGTCATTCCTTACCCCTACCCCCCTTGACATGTGTGATTTGTGGTTCCTGACACACTCAAATCTCGTACTTGCTTTATTGCAAACTAATTTAAGGATCTGACATTTAATTTCATAAATTTAATTAGATTTAATTTCATAGGCATACCTCATTTGTCTTGGAGTTTGTGGCCTAGAACAAGTTATTGCCTTTAAGAGAACTTCATCTATAAATTAAAGATGAAGGTACTTGTGGTGTATAAAACATAGATTGTAAAGATTAAATAAAATAGTGCTCATGAAACCACTTAATTTTGTGCAGTCTTGTGCATTTTCAAATTTGTGTGGTGAAGGATTTTCCCCTTTTAATGGTAAAGGAAAAACTATCCCTCAGGATCTCTGACTTCCAGCTCAGTGATCTTTTTATTATCGCATGCTTTTTTATATAATTTAATAAAAGACAAGGTAATAAGATAAATTAAGTGTTGTTTATTGATTCATTTCAGATTGAAGAATGTCCCGGGTTCCATTGGGGAAAGTCCTCCTGAGGAATGTCATTCGGCACACAGATGCTCACAATAAGGTGGGAGGTACAACCCAGTCATTTCTCAACACTAAACATTATTTTGACCCAGTTGGAAGATACAAAGATGAATAAAAGAGATAATTACAGTAACATTAATATAAATGTTTCTATATAACAGAGACATTTACAAAGTAGTTTAGAACTCCTAGGAAGGAATACTGAAATCTGCCTTGGGGAATTGGAAAAGATTTCATAGAATGTGGGGTATTTGAGCCCAATGGTAAAATACTTGCTTGTGAGACAATCCCACTTGGGGAGGGAGCACTTTGGGGATTTAGAGGCTTCCCTAAGTACACAGAGCACCTGCTTGTCCATGACCTGGGACTGGTTAAAGGTGGAAGGGTGGGGTTGGAGGTGGATCGCAGCATCAAGGCCTTATTGGAGGCACACTTGCATGGTTTCTCCCCACTCCATTCACTCATGAGAAAAAGAAAGAAACTTTTAAAAAAGATTATTTTGGACAGAGAGAACATTATGTACTAATATATGGCAAAAAGACAGAACTTAAGGGGTTCTGTCCAGTTTCTGGACCCGCGATGGTAAAAGTGCCACAGTAGGCTTTTTCTGGTATTAGGGGGGCTGCCTCACAAATGGAGGTGGGCACTGCATGATTTGATTGAGTTCATTTCAATTCAGGCAAAGGAACTGCCAAAAGACTCCTATTGGTTGGCTCTCTGCCTTTTCATCCATGATATTTTTCTTCATATACCCTTTGTCCTGACTGGTTTGCTGAAATCTCAATTAAGAAGTTGACTTCTGCAGTGAATTCTGAAAATAACTGCTGACTTCTTTTTTTTTTGAGAGAGATTTTCACTATAGGGCGCGTGCACTCACCAGACAGACAGAGACAGACAGAGAGACAGAAAGCGAGAAATCACCCCCCCAGGGGGGATGGTCACACCGCAGTCCCTTCTCCTCCATTCTCCTCTCGGGATCTTGGGCACGCACACACACGCACCCGGCGTGAGTTTTAAACCACCGGGTCTGGGATGCGAACCGCGGTCGACTACGTGGGAGTCCAGCAACATAGCCATTACGCTAACTGCTGGTTCCCATAACTGCTGACTTCTTAAGGAAATCAGAATTATGTAGCAGAAGAATTTCAGACTTTGAAAGACCTTTCTTTTACACATTCTCTCATTTGGAGAAATGTAGTAATTGGATAGATCTCATCCATTTATAGCTAGGTTTTTTTTTTTTTTAATCTTTTTTCTATTTTTTTATTATTTATTTAGTTATTTAATTTTATTTATTCATTCATTGTTTTAATTTGACCAGAGAGAGACACACAGAGAGAGAGAGAAAGAATGGGTCCAGGACTTGAATTGTGGTTGGGCATGTGGGAGTGTCCAGCATCTTAATCACCATGCCACTTGCTGGTCCTGCTAAGTTTTTAAAACTAGACCCTTTGGTTTATGTTTAAACACTTTCTTTAGATGTCTGATGCTTTTACAGAGCTTGAATATAAAAATATACTTAAGTTTACTGCATTTATTAAGAAATATAGTTTTCTTTAACATTGGAATCACATTTTAATATTCAAATAACATAATAAGGTAAGGTATTAATAAATTTAAAAGCAAGTTACTCAAAAGTGATAGATTTTGAGAGAAGGAGAACAGAAGCTATAAATAACAAAAGCATTACAGAAAATGTGGGCTTACAATATATAAGCTCTAAATACCTGTTTAATGTTTAGGTTAAGTGGGAGTTTTCTTTTTTAAGAATTACTTATTTAATTTTATTTATTCATTCATTTATTGTAATTTGACTAAGGACAGACACAGAGAGAGGGAAAGCGAGAAAACAAACCAGTAGGTCTGGGACTTGAACCGTGGTCAGCCATATGGGAGTGTCCAGTGACTTAACCATGACACCACCTGCTGGTCCCTGGGACTTTTTTTTTCAAAGAATTATTTTATTTAACTTTGTTTATCTATCTATCTATTTATTTATTTTAATTTGACCAGAGAGGGACAGAGGAGGGAGAGAGAGGGAAAGTGAGAAAGCAAGCCACCAGGTCCGTGACTTGAACTGCAGTTCGCCATGTGGGAGTCCAGCGTCTTTAACCACCACGCCACTTGCTGGCTCCATGTGAGACTCTTAGGAAAAGAAATGTTATGGTCACCAGGTTGATACAGTCTTAGGGAAAGTGGCTAATATTCACTATTGGAATGCTCACATGCATGTCCTTTTGCCTGGGTGCCTCTCTTTTGTTTTAAACCCTTGAGTTACCTAATAAAGGATTGTGTGTTTCAAACCTGTTTTTATTGCTATTTCATTATGTATGCTTATGTCCAAAACATTTTTATAATGTCTGTAACTTACTAAAATAAAGTCAGTGTAAAATTTACTCATTCAGCAGATACTTCTATTTGAGCCCTATTGGCCAGCCATTATTTTAGACACAGCAGTGAGCAAAACAGACACACATTTTTGCCTTTATGGAACTTACTTACTCGTTTTTTTTTTTTAAAGAATTATTTTATTTAACTTTATTTATTTATTTTTCATTTGACCAGAGAGGGACAGAGTGAGAAAGAAAGGGAAAGTGGGGAAGCAAGGCACCAGGTCCAGGACTCAAACTGTGGTCGGCCATGTGGGAGTCCAGCACCCATAGCCACCATGCCACCTTCCGGCCCCTCATTTGTTGTTTTTAAAATCTAAAGGTTACCTAGTAAGAATTTACATTCTAGGGGTGATCAGTTAGCATTTAATCAGAATGGTCACCTCCTAAAGCAGCTATTATAAATACTTCAGAAGCTGTTCCTATTAGCCCTAAAGGCTTTATATAATGAATATTAGAGCTAGTTTCTTGTTGAAATTAGTGGCATTCAATATATGTGAACTGTCTAAAATATTTTGGGGCTGTTTGCCTCCCGTTATAAACAGAGTATAAGGTCTGGTAAACTTTACATCCTCTACCTTTCAGAATAACTCTTAGGGTTAAAGTCAGTTTGGAATTGATTTTGGAGTATTTTAGTTGCCTAATCCTGACTATAACTAAAAATTGTACCTTCAGGGTATTGTTACGTTGTTTAAAGAAAACTTTTTGTGGAAGGCGTGGTTAAAGTTTCTAGAAAGAGCACAGAACTAGGATTTTTCTGAGTATACCACATATATTATTTGAACTGTTTTTGTGCTGCTTGCTGATAATTTTGCCAATAAATATTTAGCTTCTTCAGTCAATTGTACTTCTGGTTTGAGCATAAATAGTACTTTTTTATCACCTGACTTTTAAATTGCGAATAAGGGTAACTTTTACTCAAATTGCCTATGTAATTGTATTAACCCACTCCTAGCAGTATAGTGAATTTAGATTTGAAAGTGTTAACTAAAACAAATAAAAATCTAACACAGATTTAGCAGAATTATGCAAGAGGAGTTAGAAAGGAAATGTTCTTTGGGTAATTGTAGTCTCCCTGTCAGACAGGCTACAGAAATTAGATTCTAACAACCATACTGTTTAGTTTCTTTTTTAATAATTATTTTATTTAATGTTATTTATTTATTTAAATTTGACCAGAGAGGGACAGAGTGAGAGAGAGACAGAGAGAGAAAGTGAGAAAGCAAGCCGCCAGGCCCAGGACTTGAACTGTGGTCGACCATGTGGGAGCCCAGCACCCAAAACCACCATGCTACCTGTTGGCCCCTTTAATTTGTTTTTCTTATTTTTTTTTTTTTTTTAGAGATTTTCACTGTAGGGAGCGTGCGCTCGCCAGACAGAGAGAGACATAGAGACAGAAAGCGAGAAATCACCCCCCAGGGGGGATGGTCACGCCGCAATCCCTTCTCCTCCATTCTCCTCTCGGGATCTTGGGCACGCACGCACATGCGCCCGGCGTGAGTTTTAAGCCACCGGGTCTGGGACACGAACCGCGGTCGACTACGTGGGAGTCCAGCGACATAGCCATTACGCTAACTGCTGGTTCCCACCTTTAATTTGTTTTTGACAAGAATTTGATTTGAAAATATACTTAGCCTAGAGAGTTTAAAGACCTGTCCTTAATGGTTTTTTGACTTTGGTAAAATCTCAGAGCTTTCGTTTCTTAGTAAAATGTACTGATGGTACCTGCTTTGTTTTCTTCATAGATTATTTAGGTTCAATTTAGATGATATACTTAAAATTGCATTTTATGTCCAGCCATGGAGGTGTCAAGGGTTTGGGCTTTCATTTGCTAGACTAGTGCTACATGGGAAGCCCAGTTTGGTTCTTGGACCAACCTAAATAGGCTGAATGCAGTGGATCACACCTGTCATCCTACTTAACGGGGAGACTGGGACAGGAGAATCATGGCATGATAAGATCCTGTCAGAAATCTCTCTCTCCCTTTCTTTCTCATTAAAAAGAAAATACTGTGTTTTAGAAATGTAGGATTATTGGGACCAGTAGGTGACATGAGGGTTAAGGCACTAGATCCCACATGGCCAGCTTCACAGTTTGAGTCCCAGATTGGTGATTTGAAAATCACTCTGGCTGCATGTGCATGCATGCCCAATGTCTCGAGAGTAGAATGGAGGAGAAGGGACTGTGATGTGACCATGCCCACTGGGGCTTTCTCATCTCCCTCCCCTCTGGTGAGCACAGGCACCCTAGAGCAAAAACTAAACAAAAAGACAAAGAAGTGTGGGATTATTCTTTGCTAATCACAGCATAAGGTGAATACATGTTTATATGCAGGTGTTAAAAAGTTCTGTCGCTGTTGAGACCAATAGAAAGCATGATAGTTAAGTTCCTGGATCCCACATATCTGACTCCCTGGTGCAATGCCTGGACCTGGTGATTTGAAAAACATGCTGGATGTGTGTATGCCTGCGCCAATCCCAAGACAAATGGAGAAGGGAGTGCAGCGTGGTCATCCCCCCAAAGGGTGATTTCTCAGTTTCTCTCTCTGTCCCTCTTAAGCAAGCACACACGCCCTATGGCAAAAATCTAAAATGTGAAAGTTCTATTGCTGCAGAATTCTGTGTATTTGAGTTTTACTGGGTCTAATTATTTAACCATTTTGAAAACTCAATTTATTTTCCAGATCATAGCCCCAGTTTATAACCTAATAATTAGACTGTTCTAAGTTACTTTTCTGTAATGTAAAATGTTATTTTTAGTAATTTATTTTATTTATTCTTTAAAAAATACAGATTCAAGAGGAATCAGACATGTGGAAAATAAGAGAACTGGAGAAACAGATGGAAGATGCTTACCGGGGGACAAAAAGAAAAATGTTACCTAGTAGTTCAAGGTAAAGTTACAGCTCTGTGAGCCAAGATAATTTTCATCTTTTTCAGAATCATCACCTTTTGTTTAAAACTTCTTTGGCATGTTACCGATAGGTAAATACAGTTCTGTTCATTTTAAAGTCTTTTATTTCGTCTTTCATAATCTTTATGCTGAGCATAAAGATAATGGCAATGATAGGTATGTCTCCACTCTCTTTGTATTGTTTTGCAATGGAAATTTTAAAAAATTTACAACCTTCTACAGTTGTAAATATTTAGGGTTCTGTGGATTTCAACGTTGTCTGATAGCTTTACTTCTGATTTTCTGTTGAGGGACCAGCAGATGGCTTAATGGTTATGGTGCTAGACTCCCACATAGTTAACCATGGTTCAAGTCCTGGACCTGGGGACTTCAAACTCACGCGGGGCACATGTGTGCATGCACAAAATTCTGAGATGAGAATGAAGGAGAATAGATCGCGGCATGGCCATCTACCCTGGGTTTTTTTTTTTTTTTTTTTTTTTTTTTTTTTTTTTTTTTCTTTT